ACTTCAATATGGGTTACATCTCCACATCAAGAATATAAAAATCTCTACCATGGAATCAATAGATAATCATGTTAAATGAACAAAATTAGTTCATTTTACTTGGTCCATAATTAAATCCATGGTAACAGGAGTCAAGAAATCAAAAGATGTGTTACTTTGGGAAACACCTCTCCAAGAGCAAAAAAGAAAAGATGCCACTTTGAACTTGATCTGAGCCAGGGTCTTTTCAATTACTTCCTATGCATCTGAAAGTTGGACAGTGAACAAGGATGATAGAAGAAATAATGCCTTAGAATTGTGATGCTGGAAAAGAGTACTGAATATCCCATGGAGTGCCAAAAGAATGAAATATATTTTGAAGGAAGTACAACCACAGTGCTCCTTAGAGTCAAGAATGGCGAAACTTCGTCTCACTTTAGCCATATTTTCAGGAGTCCTTGGAAAGAGACATTACGCTGGGACAGCGAGAGGTCAGAGAACAAGATGAAGACGTTTCACAAGCTGGACTGACACAGTGACTACCACAAAGTGCCTGAACATGACGAGGATCATGGGGATGGGACAAGAAAGGGTAAGATTCACATCTGTTGTTCACAGGGTTGCTCTAAGTTGTAGTCAATTTGATGATAGTGAACAATGTAACAAGTCTGTCTTAATGTTACAGCTGTCTACTCCATTGTTCATTTTTTTCCTAAAGAGGTGTTCTGTTGGGTTTTTTTTTTAATGACAAATGTCAAAAGACTTTCAAAACTCTTTAAAGCAGTAATTTAAAAACCCCCAAGGCTGTCATGTTAATTCCAGCCCATATCAACATTACAGGACAGAGTAGAACTTCCTTGTAGGGCTTCCAAGGCTGTAATCTTTACAGCTGTGGCATACTGCCACATCTCTCTACTGTGAATCATCTAATGGGTTTGAACTGAGACCTTTCTAGCAGCTTAACCTTGCTTAATCTTCTTAACATGGGCTCCTTTTAAAAAGATCAAGCAGATCTTAAATAGAAAGATGTGTATACAGTGCTTTATTTCACTAGTATACTTATATTGACTCAATCTTGCACTGACCTTCACTGCCCTGTCTCCTGAGGCTGCATCTACATTTTCAATCCAGTCTCCTGGACTGGAGTTCCAACCACCTCCATTTGAACGCCTGGACTCAGTGCCAATAGATCCTTGATGCTGACTCACTAATCCAGTACCAACTTACTAAAAATGGATCTTTTATACTCCTATTCAGGTAACTGGCACAGTTCAAGGATTCTGGTCAAAAGTTGTCAGTTCATTTGTCTTCTTCCCCTTTAAAAAGCAAGCTCAACATGAAATTTTCCAAATTTTAATTTTCTCATATTAATTTTGAAAAGAATTATTCTCCACTTAAATATTTATTTAACACACTACCCTCATCCTCTGGTGATCTAGTGGTGAGGTGCTGTGCTACCACCCAAAGGTATGTGGTTTGAATTCACCAGCTGCTCCATAGGAGAAAGAGACTTACTCTCCTGTGTGATTTACACCCTCTGAAAACCCAATGGAGAGTCAGCTATGGGTTGGGTCAACAACAACATCCTTACCATTTAGCCATGCTTTTTTTTTTTCCTCTGCTAGGCTCTATTGTTGTTAGGTACCACTGAGTTGAGAACGACTCATAATGACCCTATGAACAAAAGATCTGAACTGTGTTCTATTCTGTGCCATCCTGACAATTTCTGACACATAAGAGCTTCTTCTCTTTAGCTAGCCCTCTGGCTTTCCCAGCATCATGTCCCTCTCCAAGAAATAGCCCCTCCTAGCAACAAGCCCAAAGTATGTGAGGTGAAGCCTCTTCCTTCTTGGCTCCAAAGGGCACTCTGACCACACACTCTCCAAGATATATCTGTTTGTTCTTTTGGCCATTTATGAGATGTTCAATACTCTTCTCCAATACCACAGCTCAAAGGCATCAATTCTTCTGCTGTCATCATTATTCATCCTCCAGCTCTCAGATGCACAGCAAGTGATTGGAAAGACCATGGCCTGAATCACACACGTTAGTCCTCAAACTTACATCCTTACTCCTCAATAATTCCGAGAGGTCCTTAATCACAGATTTTCCCAGTGCAATGTGTCTCCTTTATTTCCTGACTGCTGGTACCAAGGGTGTTAATTGTGGATCCAAGAAAGAAGCTGTTAACAGTTTCAATCTTTTCTCTAACCATCATGATGTTACCTATCAGTTCAGTGGTGAGATTCTTTGTTTTCTTGACACTGAGATGCAATCCATACCAAAGGCTGCATTTCTTGCTCTTCTGCAAGAAGTGCTTCAAGTCCTCCTCATTTTCAGCAAGCAAGGTTGCGTCATCTGCATAATGCAGGTTATTGATGAGTCTCCCTCCAATCCCAGTGCCACACTCCTCTTCATAGAGTTCAGCTTCTTGAATAATTTGCTCAGCATACAGATTAAATAGGTATGAAGAGAGAAAACAACCCTAATACATCCTTTCTCAATTTTAAACCATGCAGTGTTCCCTTGCTCTGCTCACACAGCAGCCTCCTGGACCATGTATAGGTTTCACATAAGCACAATTAAGTGCTCTGGAACTCCCATTCTTCTTAATATCACCCACTGTTCGTTATGATTCACACAGTCAAATGCCTTTGCATAGTCAATAAAGAACAAATAAAACATTCTTCTGGTATTCTTTACTTTAAGCCATTTGATGTCTAGGGCGAGAAGAATGTGAATCTCAGAGCACTTATCTGTGCTCATGAGAAACCTACACGTACACCAGGAGCTGCTGTGTGAACAGAGCAAGGGAACACTACATGGTTTAAAATTAAGAAAGGAGTATGCCAGGGTTGTGTTCTCTCTCCATACCTATTCAATGTGTATGCTTAGCAAATTATTGAGAAGATGGATTCTATGAAGAAGACTGTGGCATCAGGACTGGAGGGAGACTCATCAATAACCTGCATTATGTAGATGACACACTTTCCTTACTAAAAGTGAGGAGGATTTGAAGCACTTCTTGCAGAAGAGCAAGAAATGCAGTCTTTGGTATGGATTGCATCTCTATGTCAAGAAAACAGATTTTTATCATTGGACCTATAGGCAACATCATGATGGATGGAGAAGAGATGGAAACTGTCAACAATTCTCTTAGTTAGATCCACAATTAACACCGTTGGTAACAGCAGTCAGGAAATCAGGAGACTGATTATCTGCACTGGGAAAGTCTGCAATTAGGGACCACTCCACATTATTGCGGAGTAATGATGTGATGACGAAGGTTCGTCTGATTCAGGCCATAGTCTTTCTGATTACTTGCTATTCATCTGAATAATGAATAAAGATGACAGAAAAAAGTTGTGATGCCTTTGAGCTGTGGTGTTGGAAAAAAACAATGAAGAGCCCATAGACTGCCAAAAGAACAGACAGATACGTTGCAGAGAGGGTGCAGACAGAGCGCTCTTTGAAGGTAAGGCTGATGAGGCTTCACCTCTCACAGTTCGGGCATATTGCTAAGAGAGGCTAGTTCTTGGAGAGGGACATGATGCTTGGTAGAAGTCAGTGAAGGAGAAAAAGAGCTTTGACCAGGTGGACTGACATGGTGACTGCCACAATGGGTTCTAATGTGTCAGGAAGCGTGAGGATGGCACAGAATAGGACAGGGTTCAGATCTATTGTTCATAGGATCACCATGGGCCATACTCAACTTAACAGCCCCTAACAACAACAACAACAATAACAACAACAACAATAACAACAACAACAATATCATATACATTTCATTTCCTTTAAGAGTGCTTAACAAGCTATGTCTTAATGATCTAACACTGCTATAATGAACAGACCACAAGTGAAAAACTTTAACATACAAAAATGTATTCTCTTACAGATTAGAAGGGTAGAAGTCCAAATTCAGGGTGCCAGCTTTGGGGAAAGGCCCTTTCTTTTGTTTATGGTAGACAGTTCTTGTTTCCTTCAGCCTGTTGTCCCTGAAGATCTCCATGTGTCAAGGAGCTTTATGAGATAGGAGCCCAGATCTGAAAAAGTACCCTTCATTCCTGGCGATTACTTTGACGGTACTGAGGTCCCTCCGAAATTTATGTCATTGTCATAAGCAAAACACTTTCAACCCATCCCACTGCTTTATCACAAAAGTCTTACTTGAACTACTAGTCTATATTCTATTAAGAAACAAAATTCCTCTTCATCTATATTAATTTAGAACCTGGGTTATTCACTTTTAAAGAACAGTGGTTAAACAAGTACAAAACATATATTTCCATTACAAATGTAAGAAACTGGGAGAGGAAAAAGGGCCACAGGCACCAAGCAAGATAAATATCCAGCAAAACAATTTATACTACTCACCCTCAAGGCTTGAAAATAATTTTTATTCTCTGAGACCATGTCGGCACTGTTTCTGCCCTCTAGACTCTGGGGGCCGGCCTTTATTTCTGTGCTCACAGTGTAGGCTTCTTGGCTACTGAGGCCTACTTGGAGAGCATCTCTGCTCCCTTGGCTTTGGGCAGACTTGATAAATTAGTCAGACTAGATGGTGACCCTGCCTCCTTGATAGGCCCCATTCTTCTGTTCACTAGGGCATGGTAGCTTATCCCTTCAGTTTTGGGTGGTGGCCCCATCTTGAAGGCAGCTCGACACCTGGAATCTAGTTGGCAAAGATTTGACTCTTTGAACCTAGGAAACTGTGACCTTACCCTTAGAAATCCCAGAAGTCATGCTCCCACACTTTGAGATCCCAGGAGTTGTGCCCTTACCCTTTGAGACTGAGACAGCTCTTCTGCCCTTGCTCCTTAGTCCTTGTAAGAGGCCAGGGTAGCCTCTGTCTGCTCTAGCAAATGTTACAAAGCTCTTTAGCTTTGCCAACAAATGCCCAGAGTTATTTCACTCCACTAGTAAGCCCAAAGGCACACAACTTTCTAGCTTTGTGGTACAGCAAGCCTAGTTTTACTTTTAAGCGCCAAAACGGTCCCACTTCTACCAGGACATCTCCTGCCTGAAGGCATTCTGCTTGCTCGCTCCACAGGTAGACTTCCATGCTGTCTTGTGTCAGTCTCCATCTCTGTCCAAGTATCATAGTTCTACTGATACTGTTTCTCTGCCTCTACTTCTTGTAGTCTGCACCATATCTGGTGCTTTCTTCTGAGCCTTCACCAGAATTGTCTCTGATGTTTATTATTCCACCAGTCATCTAAGGCAATCTAGGATTTTGCTACTAGACACCTTGAAACATTTCCAGACTGCTCATTATCCAATTCCAAAACCGTGTCCACATTTAAAGTGTTTATTAGTTTATAAGGTACCATCCCACTCTAATGGTACGAAACTGTCTTAGTGACATAAAGCTGCTATAATAGAGAGACCATAAGCAGATGGTGTTAACAAAGAGAAATTGATTCTCTTGTACTATAGGAGGGTCCCAATTCAGAATACTAACTCTAAGGGAAGGCTTGCTCTCTGTCAGTTGTGGTAAACAGGTGTTTCCATCAGCATATGTAGGTATTCCTTGGAGACCCTAATCTTTCCCCAGGCTCAAAGGGCTTTATCATATATGAGCCCAGATAAAAAAAGAGTCATTCCATTTCCAGTGATTATTCCTTGGTGGTATTTGTTGTTGCTGTTCAAGGTGAAACTGACCCATAGCTGAAAACCCTCTAGTGGGTTTTCAGAGGCTGTAAATTGCACAGAAAAAGATTTTCCATTCTTCTCCCACAGAGCAGCTGGTGGATTTGAACTGTGTGCCTTTGGGATAGTAGTACCGTTTCTTACCTGTAGGCCATCTGAATTCTCTTGGCATTATGATAGGTCCCCCCTTTCCTTGCTCACTTTCCTCAGGCAAGATAAAAAGTATTACAAGTCACATTCTAGAGGAACTCTCCTTACATCTGATTATGGCTGTGACTGAATTAGAAGCGCTGCATTCCAATTTTAATCCTTCTGTAACTTGGTTTCTTAGAACATGGTGGATTCAATACAGTTTCCACTATAGACTGTATGTACAACAGCCCTAAACCCTCCTCTATTCTTTGCCAATCTTATTGTCTCTGAAACATCTACTCCATTACCCTAGCCATGGAAACAATCCAACTCATCAAGGGTCTTCCTCTCTTGTGCTGTCCCTCCACCCTCCCCTAGCATGACATCCCTCTCCAAGGACTGGTCTGGCATCTATATCAATCTTGAGGGAGAAAAAATTTAAAACAATCCAAGAAAACTATATCATTTCATTCCTTGTTACATATGTTCAACATTTTACCTAATAACTTATATAGACAAGACAACTACTTTGTTTCTATTCCTAACCTAAGACTTACAGGTCACAAGTGCAATCTTAGTTATTTAATTTGTGGTTGAGTATAAGTCAAGACATCTAACAGGGAATTACATGGAGTCAGAGCATTCTGTGGGCAATGGGAAAGTAGATCACGCCCTGTACCTGGAGAATCTGAGGACAGTCAACACATAAAATAAGAGGTATTGGAATGGGGGAAAGAAATAAATAACCTCATTTAAAATTTGACATTCAATGAAGTGAAATGAAGACTTGAAGCACTTACTGAAGAAGACTAAAGTCTTCCATATGGATTACAGCTCAACATCAAGAAAACAAAAATCCTCACCATCTTTACCACTAGACATCATGACCAATTACATCATTTTACTTGGATCCACAATCAACACCTATAGTAATAGCAGTCAAGAAATCAAAAGATGTAAGTACATTGGGAAAACACGCTATCAAAGACTTCTCCAGAATACTAAGGACCAAGAATGTCAATGTGAAGACCAAGGTGTGTATGATTCCACCTATCGTCTTTTCAGTTACTTTCTATGCATCTGAAAGATGCAATGAATAAAGATGATAGATGAATAAGCAATGCCTTAGAATTGTAATGCTGGAGAAGAGTACTGAATATCCAATGGACTACGCAAAGAATAAACAAGTCAGCTTGGAGGAAGTGCAACTAAGTACATCTTTAGAAGGATGGTGAAACTTCATCTTACTTTGGAATACTTGGGGCATGTTATCAGGACGGGCCAGTTCTTGGAAAAAGACAACATGTCGGAAAGGTGCAGGGTCAAGAAAAGAGAGGAAGGCCCTCAATGTGATAGACTGACACAGTAACTGTAAAAACAGGTTTGAGCATATCAGAGCTTGTGAGGATAGTGTAGGATAGAGGAAGATTTAGAGCTGTTGTTCACAGG